TCTTTGAATGTTTTGTTTTGGCTGTCCAAGAAGCGATACAGCAAATTGACAGAAAATATTCCATTCTTATTGAGGTTCCAAGTTAATTTGTCATCTCTATTAGTGAGATTTATGCCGGCCAAAATAAAAAGCATAGATTCATAGTCCTCCAATTCCCAATCATTAAGGTTTCTCACGGTCAGGACATTCCAAGAAGCATGACAGGTCGATCCAGCAGCTTCCCAAACAGATGCATGCTTGTTCTTAGCGATAGCAAACGTATGGGGAAATCTATCTTTGAATTTTTCAGTTCCGCACCAAATATCATCCCAAAAACGGATCTTTTGACCATTCCCGATATACCACTTAGAACAAAGGAAAATAGCATCATTCAAGCTACTTATGTTCTTCCACAACCTAATACCATATTTGTTGTTCTGGATGTGAGAAAGATCATGAGGATTGCCTTTGAACATTTACAATTGATAACCAATTTCCATAAACTGTCGTTATCGTTCCAAAATTCATAATTTCCAAATCCATTTCCCAAGCAAGGCCTTGTTTAATTTAGTCAGTGATCTCAGCCCCAAGCCACCTTCTTTCAGGGGTTTTTTAACTTCTGACCACTTAACCAGCTGACATTTTTTGTTGTTTTCACTGTCCCCCATAGGAAATTGCATTGTGTGGCTTCCAATTTTTTGGTAACATTTGTTGGAATATTGATAACAAATAGGTAATAGATAGACAAATTAGAGAGAGTGCTCTTTATGAGAGTTAATCTGACTCCTTGAGACAAAAATTTCCTCTTCCAAGTGGCTAATCTGTTGTTGAACGGTTCAATCACCGGTTCCCAGCATCTTTTGTCCTTTTTCTTGATTCCCAAAGGTACCCCCAGATAAGTGATGGGGAATGTTGATTTTTTGCAGCCAAGGATATCAAAGAATGTATTTTCAGTATTGCAACAGCCCAGGTCAACTAATTCAGATTTGTGGAGATTAATCTTTAGACCTGACACAGCCTGGAAGCAAATCAGAATGCATTTGAGGAATATTAAGTGACTTGTGTTAGGTTGACAAAATATGAGGGTGTCATCCGCGAAGAAAATGTGAGAAATTTCAATGTGTCCTGAGTTATTTCCCACCTAAACTCAATGTTTTTAGCTCTCTCAATTAGTTGATTCAAAGCCTCCATAACAATAATAAATAAAAACGGTGATAGTGGGTCCCCTTGTCTCAAACCTCTAGAAGCCGTGAAAAAAGAGGAAGGCCCACCATTCACTAATACAGCTAGACTCGTTGTAGTAACACAAGCTTTGGTCCAATTTCTCCATTTATTGCCCATTCTTTGCAGCAAATAATCTAGGAAATTCCAGTTAACATGATCGAAAGCCTTTTCCATGTCCAGTTTGCATAAGATGCCTTTCTTATCATGTCAAAAGGTCTCATCCACAACCTTGTCAGCAATAAGGATGGCATCAGTTATTTGTCTCCCATCAACAAACGCGTGTTGAGAATTACTGATTATCACACATGTAAGTCAGTCAACATCTTCGATAATAGTTCGAAAATGCAACCAATAAGGCTAATAGGGCGATAATCATTGAAGTTCTTGGGCTGAGCTTTTTTTGGGATCAAAACAAGAAATGTTGAATTGAGAGAGTGTTCCATGAGTATGAAAATCCTTAAAGAAATCAAGAATGTCCGGCTTAATGACCTCCCAAAAAAATTTGTAAAAATTTGATGTTGAATCCGTTTGGACCCGGGGCTGTTGAAAAAGAGGTTGTCAAGTTTGGGCCTATAATTGTTGCTTTCTTTATACAATTTTTGAAAATGCTCTTTTGCACCCTCTCTAAGAGCCTCATCACCCTTGATGCATTTGTCATCCATATTGAGTTCTTCAATGTAGTTCACTCTTCCTCTGTGATTAGCTAGCATATGAAAGATTTGGAGTTTTTATCTCCATCTTTGATCCACTTTTCTCTAGATTTTTTTTTTCAGGAGGTAGCTTCCATTTGTAGTTTCTTGGCTAAATCAGCTTTCAGATGACATTTCCTCTCCCTTTCCAGGAAGTTCAGAATACCATTTTCTTCTTTCTATCAAAGGAGTCGATTTCAGACATAAGATCCATTATGCTTTCTTCCTCTTTTCCGCCCGTGTCACTGGCCCATCTTTTAATTTCCTGCTTTAGGGATTTTAGCTTGATAGCAATTCTCTAACTGATAGAACCCTGAATATGAGTGTTTTCCCATGTGTTATTGACTTAAAACTTTAAAGCTTTCAAAACCCAGCCATTTGTTGTCAAGCCTAAACGGGACAGGACCCCATTTGATGCCATCCATGGTCAGAGAGATCGGAAAATGATCAGACATGGGTCTTGAGAGAACATTTTGATTGACACGAGTTAATTCCAAGAGCAGCTCAGATGTTATAAGGAATCTGTCTATTCTAGAGAAAGATGGTTGGCTTCTTTGATTACTCCAAGTCCATCTAAAGAGGCAAATCATTCAAATCAAGTTTGTCAAATAATGCCCTGAAATCATCCATATCATTATTGGAATAGTTGCTATCTGATCTTTTAGAGTTTCTCAAAATCATGTTGAAATCACCGCCAACAATACCCTTGAACCCCCAGGCATTTCTTACATTAATTAATTCCTCTTCAAGTAGAAGTCGTTCCGAATAGTTGCCTCTGCAATACACCCCAGAGAAATACCAAGAAATGATATTGTTGTTAGAAAATAGACAGGAAAGAGTTACTTCCCCTGTGACAACATTCTGACAATGAACTCTGTCCGTTCTTCACATAATTAAGATGCCACCAACGAAGCCTTTAGTAGGGAGAAAATGTCAGCCAATGTCGGACATTTTCCACAGACTGTGAATAGTTTTTTCAAAAATTACCTCCATTTTTGTTTCTTGAACCAGATGATGGTAGGCTTCCATCTATTCAAACAACCTCTGATTATAACCCTCTTTTTATGGTCATTAAGACCTCTAACATTCCATGAAATAATTTTGTCAATCATTTGGGTAGAAAGAGAATGGCATCTGATTCCTTGGATTTTTTGTTGCGACCCTCATAATTGATTGGCGTCTGTAACTGTTTTAGTTCTCTGGATCCACTCTCTGTCTATTTCTTTTTGCCGGATTGCAAGAGTATAGGCTTGTTTTTGCAAATTTCTAATTTTTTCTCCAACTCAATTTGTAAGCTTTTAGCCTCCATTTCATAGCCGAAAAAAGAAGCCTCAAGATGTTTACTAAATCTTTTGGTTCGTTCGTTAGGCATTCCTCATCAGATTGATACAACACCATTTTGTAGCCCATACCAGAGAGTAGTTCTTTTTCGAGACTCATAGCTGGAATGCATGAGCTTTGATGAGCACCAGACCAGGAATTTAAGCAAAGGACATTTGCTCCCATGTCTCGACAGGGAATTTTAGGGCTCTGTTTTTAAATGACCAAAGACTCATTTTCCTTTTGGTGTTCTAGTAAAATGATCGAAATTGGTTTCGGGTTTGGGTGCAGATCCTTTTTCTTTTCTCTCCCAACCCACTTAATTTTTTTATGCATTTTGGTCGGGGCTAGCCTTTGGTTTGTTCGTGTTACTTGGCCCACTTCATTTGTCCATTTTGCCTTTTCGGTCCAAGTGAAACTGGACTTCTTAAGATGGTGAGTCCTCTTCTGTGTTGGGGAGACCCTCTTTTGATTTTTCCCGCCTTTGCTTTTCAGTTTTTGAATTTCAAAAACTGAATTTTTGGGGGTTCTATTCAGGTTGGGTATTGTTGTCACCACCCGCTTAGGATTGGCGTTGTGAGGTTTCAGCGCTTCTGCATATGATTTCTTCTCTTCCGTCGGGAGTATGAAGCGATCGGTGTGTTTGCAGTTTGGGCAGCATAATGATATGTGAGAAGATACAAATTGTACCTGACAAGAACGGCAGAAAGGACGGGTATGATCTGAGTGTTCCAAAAACGGGTTTTTTAGAGGTGTTTCAGTGAGTTCAAAAATGGCTTTCATGGTGCGCCACCATCCCCCGGACTCAAAACCATCAGGGATAAAGATTATTTTAACAGAACCTTCTCTTTCTTCCGATAAAACAAGATTTCTGCCCCTTCTCTTCCATACCAAAGCCAGGAAGAGTTGACGATGTTGTCCTTTAATGTTCCTGCCCCATGAATCTTTGCCTCTATTCCAATAGAAGTCCTTTAGGTTTTCAATCAGCCATTCAACTTCTAGTTTATTGAGATGGATAGAGATTCTGTTTCCTCTTCCATTTTCGTAGATTCTCAGCCCATCGAGCTTCTTTCTATTGCAAATAATGTCAAAAGATTTTCCCACTATAAGGATGAAGCGTTTATTGTTTACGGATAGCATTGAGGAGAAAAAAAGAAAAACAGTCAGCCGATACGTTTGGGTTTGACAAGGTCGAGTTAAGAAGGGTTTGAAAGGTAGCGAGAGAAGAGATGGTAGAGAGTGAGAGGACGAGAAAGATTGAGAAAGTAGAAAGAATTTTAGAGAGAGAATGTCTTAGAGGGAGAAAGTGCTGAAAACCATAATAACCATTACAAATAATATGGGTATAGAAACATGGTAATCCCTGTATTTCGCTCTAGCCAACTTTGTTTGGCTTCCAATAACATGCATATGCCAACCAAATAACCTATGGATCATTCCTAAACATGAGATTTTAAAATCAACAATTAAGATAACTACCGCAACTCCCTAATGTCATCTCCAGTCATTCTAAATATTATTATGCGTTTTCCTATTAACAAGAGCCAATACCATGCATGATAAAATCATCAATAGGCAACATCTACAAGACTCTCTGTTTTCATATGAAAAATATTTACAAGGCTCTTACCCAATAATTTTGAAGAAACATTGGAACATCTGAATAATCAATGCATCACACTCCAGATCCAACATCACCAAGCAAGATCTAACTTTTGCAACAGTATCAAGAATTGATATAGCTTTCTTATAACAGCAACTAGACGCATGAGATAAATTTTCAAAAGCAGCTACAGTTAAATGAAAGATTTCCTGCACATCGAAAAGTAGGAAGAGAAACATATTTGAGCAGTAAAACGTAACATATTTGCTAGATCTGGCCATTTTTGTTGCTAGCATATTATTGAAATCGAAGCTATTATCAATTGGGTTAATATAAGGGATTACCTTCATTTGTTCATCATTGTACGGAGCATCTGGTGCTGTTATTCTTGTAATCTCACTAATGCAGGACACAACTGAAACCCTCACATCCATGTTTAAGTGTCCCAAAAGGTCAGTAGAAATTAATGCTTTCATCGAGGGCAACAAGGCATTCTGCATTGATCTGGAAGGTGCTTGCTCAACATTTGCAAGCAAATGCTCAACCCTCTACAAAAAAGAAAAAGATGTTAAATAGTTATACCAAAGACTGACGAGATAAGAGAGTGGCACAGAAAACTACTACAAAGTGCATAGTGAGAGCAACAACAATCATCAACTTTTACCACAAACATATAATTAGTTGGAACTCTCACTAGCATTTGAATAAAGAAGAGAAAGTTCTAAGGTATAAAATAAACAGGAAAATCATACAGTCAACAAGCATAAAGAAGAGAAGGAAAGATCAACAGGTCCGTGCGCATCATTAAAAAAGAATATCATTATAAATGATGTGTATGGTGATTGAAAAAAAATCGATAACTTTTACCAACTGGAAAGTGAAATTAGAAAATCATATAAGTGTATCTCCTCGGCTAAAGTTTTTGCTGCTCCTTTTTACTCTTAGAAGAAGCAACTACAACTTTTACCACTCCAACAAACCTGATCTTGACATCAGAATCTTTCCATCTCATGGATTCACTCAGGCATTAAGCTTCACAACTCCTAGTTTCTGGATAGTTAGTCTCAGCTTCATCAACTGTTTCCTCCTCTGTTTATTTGTGGCTAAACTAAAGTTTCAGGACCTCCTGCATTCGGAGGAGGTAACATAATAATTCCAAGAGGGGGTTTTGTATCAGTGTTCAGCAAAGGCAACCTCAAACTGATGAGAACTAGATGGAATCAACAGAAGCAACATCTATTTTCGGCTTTTTTTCAATCATACAACCGACATGGCAAGACTTTCTACTTAATAGAATGAAACTAACCTTGTAAAAGTTTCATTTCAGGCCGACAGTACAGGGAGGCCAAACATCCAATACAAATCAGAGAAAAAATTACTTCGGCACCTATTAAAGAAAGGGGAGATCCCCCCCCACACAAAACTTAATTTCCTCAATAGTCAAATAGTAACAGCAAACACCAATCTGATGGGAAAAGCATGGCAGATTTGAGAAGTCATCTCACTTGCAATACATGGACCCCTCTCCTATCTACTTCTCTTTCTTTCTAAATGATGTACGTGACATCCAAACTGCCCTTCATATTTGTCAGTAAATCCATATCTTTATCATGGATGTTTCACCCCCTTGTAAATTTCAGACAGATGTTTTGGCCCTACATTTTTTGCTTTCATTCTAATTAAGAAAAAGAATTTGCTTTCACCTGCCCAAAAATAAAACCAGACAACCATTTAAGCCTAAGAAGTCAGAAAACACAATGAAGAACTCATGTTGTACATAATACATTAATACAGAAGCAGAACACGCCAAGCCAAGTGCATTCTCGTCAACATTGCGAGAAAGAAATATAACCCCCATTTGAAACTAGAAAAATCAGATAACTCATCTTAACCAACCTAAACGATAATATAATTATGTTGTTCCAGTAAGCAATCATCAACATACGAAAAAACTCCATTTTTAACAAACAGGAGAAATACTTAAACAACAATCACCCAATTTCAAGCCGTCGCTCCTACAGAGACAAAGACGCCAACAAATAGAATGAAAATTTTCAGGCAATTCAAGAAGAATACCCAAAAAAACACCAAACTCTCTTCCAAAAAAGTGAAAGTACCGATTCGAACATTCACAATCCCTCCAAAAACCCGCGAGAAAATTATTAAAAAAAATTTTAAAAAAAAAACGCACATACTACATGCAAATATAAGAGAACAGGGAAAACGAAAAAAAAAAAAGTCACTTACATCTAAAAGTTTAAGAAGATTATCAATGGAGGACGGTGGAGTAACAAGCATGTTGCCAGCCTCCTTAAGCTGTTCCTCTATCTCAATTTCCCTGTCAAATGGAGCCATCTTTCACACTCTATCTCGATTTCAAAATCCTACATCCGTATCTTTGTACGAATACTTTCTTCTTCCCTCAGAGATTTCCGCGCTCAAACCTAGACACCATTTTTCCCCTAATCAAACACTCAGCGACCGTCACCATACCGCGCTTAAAACCCCATTCTAAGGGGGGTTTATAGCAAAGTGTCGAGCAGAGAACCTGGACACGTGGACAGTTCCGGATTCCGCCTATTCTATCAAATTTAATTTATTTTTCACCCTTTCAAATCCGCCTACTTATTTCTTCATTATTCCATTTTTACCTCTCCCTTACATTTTCTTATCAAATGTATAATTTTCTTGCTTTATAAGTGAAATATGTATATATATATATATATATTCTTATTATTACATAATATTTTATATTCTTGTAAAAATAAGATTACGAGAGAAAATAAAGGAAATTCTAAAATAATAAATAAATAAATAAATAAATTTTTTATTATTCCTAATTATATTGTAGTATTTCGTTTACTATATTAATTGTGATTTTTTTTCTTGTATTAATTATAATTTTAATACCATTTTTTTTTTCTTTCTCTTCAATTTAAGGGTTTCTGCCATTAATGTTGTTATAGGGGTTATATCCATATATGGGAATCATTAATAATTTACCAACTGAAAATTAAGGCATTCAATTTGTTGCTAATATTTTCATCTAAAGAGTAACAAATTACAATGTATTCTATCTCTATATTATACATATATATATATGTATATGTATATAGCATTCAATGAATGTCATCTTTGATATTTCTTACTTACATGATTCATTTTAGTTTTTATTTGAATTATATTTTATTAATTTCTTTTAGATGTTAATTATGTCATATTTAATATTTTATTATATATATATATATATGCTGTCATTTGATTATGAAATTCCAATGGATTATATAGGAAATCCTATAACTAACAACATATGGGGATATACTTCAAAATTATATGGTATTGTATAAATAAGACAAAATAATGGTATTATAAGGAAGAATGAGGATGATTACCATAAAGTTAGTCACTGGCAATAACTATTTCAGATAACATAATATTTTCATAATAAAATTTAATAAGTTTAACTCAAATTATATTTCTCATATCATATAAAATAATAATAAAATTATTTAAAATGCATTAAAAATGATAACAAGTCTGAGTATAGAGCAGGTTTTACAAAACTCAAATTGAATCAAGTTTTATAAATAAAAAATCTGAACTTATCTCGAATCTAAAACTATTTTACCAAATTAATGTTATTTTCAAGTAGATTGAATTTTTACTAAAATTAAATCAGAGTTAAATCGATGAACAAAAATATTAGTAAGAAAAATTTAGTGCAAATAAAAAAATATGCGTAAAGATTAAAGTAGATGCAATAAAGTATAAAAGAGCGAGATAAAGATAAGAAGCAAATGTAAAGAAGATAGAGAAGAGGAAGATGAGATGATGGGCATCGAGAAATCCATTAGTGATGTTACACAAAGAAAAAGAGGAAGACGATGTCCAAATCCGCGGGGAGAAAAACGAAAGAGGAGACAAGTAGATGAATTGAGAGGAAAAGTAAGAAAAAATTGAAAAAAGAAGATGACAAAAAGAGGAGGATAAGAAGAATAAGAAGAGGAAGTGAAGAAGATTCAAAGGTTTATAGAAACTCAAAATTTTTTATTGTTGATTAAAATTATATATATATATATATATTATGTATTTAGCTAAAAGTAAAGTATATATTATATTAAAAAATATGTATATCTTAATTTTTGTTATATATTAAAATTAAAATATATATTATGATTTAACTAAAATAAATGTCTTATATATATATATATATATATATATATATGTAACCAAATAGGAGTAAGGTGTATTTTTCTTGTTTAAACCCAAACTCAACCACTTAACACATGACAAAAAAACACAATTCCACTTAATTGTTATATTCATTATAAGAAAAATAACGAGATATTCTCTAAAATACACTTTATACAATTATTAAATATAATTTTATATTCACGAATTTTATTTAATAAATTATATAAAAATAATTTAATAGTATCATAAAACTATTAAAATAAATGAGAAATGTAAACAAAAATGGGAGGACAGTTAATTGTACAATCCAAATCTTAAAATTTGAAAACAAAATATTATTGAAAAGAAACAAAAAAAAAGATTTGAGACGACATTCATATGCAACTTGCCGACATTATAAACCCAACTTAGCAATAAATATTATCATTTTCTAATAGTTCTAAATTGAAAAGAAAAAAAAAAAGAAAATCTTAGATCGATATTTTTATAAATATAAAAACGTGTAAAATATCAAATAGTATAGACCATAATATGGTAAATATATCGAACAAGTATGCTTAAATTTTACGATACTTAACTCCTCGATTTTTCAACCCTAATAATAACCATAATCTTCATTGAGCTAGTATACAAGTTACATGAACTATCTAGCTCTATCATTTGTTACCTAAGTGCATATTTTTTTCTCGGTTGATGTCGATACGATCTTTTTACATTACAAATGATTGTTATTAATATATAACCCAGACAATTTATCACCATCAAATACATAAATTAGCAGAGTTTGAGCTAATATTCTGATGCATCTATCAGGTATATGCTGCATTTGTAATTTGGATTAGTTTAGTTTTAATGGATAAATAGGAACCTCATTAACTGGCATTTCTAAAACAACATTATCTCAACAAAAACACATCATCTTGAAGCTAACTCATACTTTTTAAAATAGATTTTGAATTGTCTATTGAGTGAAAATATGTTGTATGCATTCTAATCACTAGTAGACAGAACTAATTTTTTAGATAATTTCTAATCACAAGCTCACATACAAAACCATTTTCCTTTCTGTAAAGATAGAACCAAATTGATGTTTTTTAGATCAAATCTTAAGGACCAAATTTTTTAGCCTACGCACATGATTTACTTCTTCAATTGTGCGGTTGATTAGTAGATTCGAAATCCATGATCAATAACTATATTGGTTTCTCAGAATCTAAATAAATGGATTAAGGATAACCTTTAAAAGACAACATCATAAACTCATATTCAAAAAGCACATGCAGTAGCTCATAATTCTAAATTGAGTAACCCAAAAATGACTATATAGAGAGAGGCACAATAATTGCAGAAAAAAGGGTCTACTGCAAAATGACTCCAATTTAGAACCCATCAAAAATGGCAAATCAGTGAGACTTAATATGACTCTGGACTACTGTCAAGGCTGAGCTTTCTTCTCCGAAGTCCTGAAACAAAGAAATGAGAAAGTATATTACTCCTAATTCTCCAGCAAAATAACAAGACCAGATTCATTAGAAATGTACATATATATACCTTGACAACAACACACGAGCAACCGACTACCTTCCTGGCTTTCCCCTCAGAGTCTATCTTGCACAGCTGCATGAACCAAGAGACCACATTAAGAACAAATAATGCGTAAAAGAGAGGCAGCTCTCCAAGCATAAGACACAAAGAAATTACAATTTAATGCTTTCAAAAGCATACCATGCAATGCTAAATATTTACAGTAGCAAAATTAACAAAAGTTGTAGTTGAATAGACAAGACTATGTGAACAATTCAGAGACTGCATTACCATGAAGAATTATCAATTTCAGAAACAAAAAAAAAAATTCTAAAACCCATAATAATATTATTATAAAATTATTCCAACACTTCATAGTATTATTCCGTAGAAAAACCCGCGAACAAATGAAAACTACAAGTCTCATTTTCTCATCACGACATAAGGGAGCAACAATACAGAGTTAATCAAAGATTAAAGAAGTTGGCTAAATATAGTACTTACTCCAGCCCATTCACCAAGGGTCTTAGCACTGGGAACTGTCAGTAGACTAACATTATGGTCATTGCAAAGTGCTTTCACTAGCTTGACATAATCAGTCTCGTTGCAATCCTCAGCTAATACACAGAGCTGGGCAGCATGTTTCTCAATCACCTTTGCACCTTCATGAAGACCTCGAGCCAGCCCACCATGAGCAAGAGATTTCCTTAACACATGTTGCAAAGCTGTAATCAAGTCCATCTCCTTAGGGACAACAGATGTCTCAGCCGCAACAGCAGCAGCACCTTCTTCACTGCAATAGTGACTCACAAAAAAAGTGAATCAGAAATGTCCTGGATTTCCTTTTTCTTTTGCAATCTTTGAAAGCAATACAAGTTTCGAGTCCTGCTATTCATGCAAAATTTAGCCTTTTGACCTCTAGTAAACATGCTATAGTGAGGCAACACATTGCATTGCTCGTTTATCTTGTTAATCCTGTGTGTATCAATTCCTTAATCAATGTCCAAGAACGTAAGTAAGACATTAAGTACATCCAAAGCTAAAAGGTCGAAACTTTGTACCTAATGCCATGTGAACCTGAAAGCAAAAGGCAAGAAAGTCCAGAAACAGTTTTGCGGCCCAAACGAGAACAGCTTTTCTATTTTTTGTTTGGAATTTTATACCCAAATTTGTTTGAAAAGAGATCTTATAGCTATTAAAATTACAAGGAAAATATTGTTGTGATGCTAGGGGCCCAGCTAGTTTAGGACTAAGGAGACTTACTGCAGAACTCAACAAATAAAAACAAACCAATCTATAATAATAACCAAGTCAATTATTGATATCACTGATTGAAATTCAATTAGAACTAAATCGAAAGCATGTTCATCAGCTATAATGGAAATATGGTATTCTGATTTGGTTTTACTCTATCGTCAGATCTTGGTTGCAAGTTAATCATTATGGGTTTAACTGTAGACAATAATCTCACACTTATGATAAGTGTGTTAATAAACAGATAAATTAGGAAAAAAACATAAAGTTCAGACCCAACAAAAACGATAAAACAATGCGAGAGAAACTTACCCTGACATTGTTCTCTTTGATTATGATCAAATTCTTTATAATCCCTGCAAGAATTAGATAGCAGAAAACACCATGCAGGTTATATCATCAACCGACCAATTGCAGAACTGTACTTAAAACTCATAAACCCGAAAGAAGAGGAAGAAAGAAAACGAAACCTCTCGGTGGAGGTGACGGCCGCAAGAGAAACGAGAAAGAAAGCAACAGCATTTTTAATGGCGCCGACTAGGTTAAGTCGTATATGAGCCGAATAAATATTAAAAAAATGAGTAGATACAAACGTATGTGCACAAGAGGAGCATAGAAAAGATACCTTCACACAGAGGAGTTGCCGCAGGAGGAGTTGCCGCAGGAGAAGACGCCGCAAGGGGATGCTCACCATGTAAATTAATGGAGTTGGATGAAAGCGAGATTTATATAGCATCAACGACGCACTTCTAAACCCTAACCCTAGACGCCCAATTGCAAATTCTTCAAATTATAGTTTCCTCCCCATCATTTATTTAATTTCCATATATCACCCATGTTATTAAACTTAAAAACTAATTACAAACAAAAAAAATATTAGTCACATCCTAAGTTATTCTACAAAGGCATAATTTTCTATTTAAATCATAAAAAATGTAATTCTAATGTTTTATAAATTAATATATATATATATATATATAAAGCTAGTACATATATTATTTATCAAAAAAATTAACGGTGTAACTTAATAATTTAATAGATAATAATAAAATAGATAAAATTATTTTTCTTTCAAATGAAAAATAAAAAACGGGTAAAAAAGTTAAATATAATATTAAAATATGATAGGAAATAGGGTGAGGGGTCCTTACTTGATTCGACACCGAAAACTAAATTGTCATTGTGCCTACAAGCGGTCCCTGGATTCTCTGAATTTTTTCTCGAGAACTGAAACGCGCTTACGGTACCTACACATGTCCCAAATAACCCAAAAATTAGACATAGGGTCTACTTGACCAATTTCAAATTCCAGCACGGCGGCTCCGCCGTGCTCCGGTGATGGCACCACCGCTCGCGGCGGCGATCTGCCTTAGGTTGGCTGTTTTCGGCCGAATTCAGCCAAACTTGCATCGATTCCTGTGAGAAAACACACTTAGGGCCATTAGTGGGCCGGAAAAACGTAGAAAACTAAAATTCACCCGCGTTGGGGCTTTTCGATGCGGCAGCTCCTCCGGTTCACGTTGCGGTTAGGTGTTTTACTCCGTATAACCTGCAGAGGAGGAAACGGTGATCACAACGGTGGAAAAATCATATCGAACAGGAATTGGGAAGGGCCTCATCAGAGGCGAAAACCGAAACACCTCGCGGCGGCATTTTTCGCTCCGATTTGACCATAGTGGGTTT